CCATAGCAGCAGCAGAGTGCCGGAGCAGGAGCAGAGGAGTCCCAGAACAGTGGGGGAGTCAGCCCGACGGTGGCACCTGTCCTGGAGGCTTCCCCCTGCCCCCTGCCCCCTGCCCCCTCCCCCACCCCTACCCCCAACCCTCACCCCATTCTTACCTCCCACCCCCACCCCCTCCCCCCACAGTGGAGATTCCCACATACACTAGAAAGACCCAGGCCCAGAAGACACGTGGAGTCTAAGATGAAAGATGGGAAAGTTGGATCTGAATGTGGATGTGCGCCCCCCTCCACCAGTGCCAGGAGGAGCTCCCTTATTTGGGGAGTGGGAACGAGGAGGGACTAGGGAGGGGATAACTTAATTATCTAGGCCCCCCGGCCTTATTAATATGTAAATCTCTCAAGGCAGAGGCCTGTTAGTCATGCCCTCTACCTGTGTCTTACGTGACTGATGGTACAGGTTAAACGGACATGAGACCGCGTGTCAGGGCCCTGGGTTCTGGGGGGCGTGGCCAAACACCTGCAGTCTCGGGGTTCCAGGCCCGTGTCAACCCAAGATGTCCTTCTACAGCCCGACAGTTTTAGTTTAACCCTTTGCTTCTCAGAGAAACTAATTTTGAAAGGGTAGTATTAAATACATTTTCACTGAGGGCTGGGGTGATAGGTGGGTAAAGTGCTTACCTTGCAAGCATGAGGACCTGAGTTCAGATTCTCCAGCATCCATGAGAGGGTCGGGGAAGATGGACCCAGTACCATGTTCCTGTGATCCTACTACTCCAGACACAGAAACAAGAGAATCCCACAGACTCTCTGGCCAGCCAGTCTAGCTCCATCAGTGAAATCCAGATTTGGTAAGAGATTCTGTCTCGAAAAATAAATAAGGTAAAATGTGACTCTGGAGAGAAACCTGGCTCAAGCAGTTAAGAATGCTTGCTGTTCATCCAGAAGACCCAAGTTCAATTCCCAACACCCACATGAGGTACCCAGGTAATTCCTGTCCAAAGAATTGGATGACCACTTCTAGGTTTTGTGGATATGTGTAAACTGTGGTGTATATTCACAAAAACTCACATATATACACATACATAAAATAAATATTAAAAATAAGATGGAGAGCAATTTAGAAAGACATCCAGACATTTACATAAGAGCTCACACGGGTATGTGACACGAGCACACAAACACACACACACACACACACACGTACGAACACACGCACGCACGCATGGATCCACACACATGCATGAGCACTACATATTACACTCTCAGGGATTCTGACTTCCTGAGACTTTCATAGGAGTTACTACTATTGACATTATCTCATTGATTCAGGCTGTCTGGCCTGGCATATTGAGATGTGAATCTTATGGAGAACAGACCTGGTGTATGTATCTACCATTGTATCTCCTGGGCTGTGAAGAATGCCAGCACTTTCCATTTGCTACCTGTGACCACATAATAAATTATCAAAAATGTAGACTCTTAAGCAAACTCACATCTCACAGCTTCTGTAGGTCCAGAATGCCACTTCCTAGATGGGGTACTGACAGGGCCTGGGCAACCCTCTGGCTTTTCAGGAAAGCTAAACTTGTCATCACATGAGTCTTTTCCTGAGCGTTGCCCTGATGTCCTCAAGACACAGGACAAGTTCCCCTTAAAATAAATAACTCTAAGAGCAAAACATCTTCTGCACTCTAGCTAGGAGGACACATTCTGTCATTTCCACACTATGCGACTAGTTACATGAGTCAGCCATATTCATTGTGAAGGAGGATGTCACGTGGATGTAAATGCCATCTCCATCATTAGCCAATTTGTCAGGTCCCAAAGAAACTCAGGACAATTTTAACTGGGTACCTGTGGCTAGTCCCAGAACTTCTCACCCCTGAACCCCTCAGCCCTGGGGCTGAGCTTCCCTTCCCCCGGCCCAGTCGTTTCAGCCACATACTTTCTTAGACTCTTGGTCCTCAGCTCCTCTGTTGGCTCCCTTGCCCTCTCTCCTTTCTCTCTCTCTCTTCCTCTCTCTTCCTCTCTCTCTCTCTCTCTCTCTCTCTCTCTCTCTCTCTCTCTCTCTCTCCTCTCTCACTCTCCTCATCCCAGTTCTGTCTGGCTCTACTCTACAATGAAACCCTTCTCATAGCCTTATTTTCACTTAATATTAAACTAACGAGTTGTGTCTTAATTTTATAATTTCACTCCTCAAGAGACATCTTATTTCCAGATGTTTGGGAAACACTCTCCCTCAATCTCTCAACCTTATTGCCTAGATGGAGTATTCTATTTCATGCATAAAACAATTTTTATTATACTTACATGTGTACACACACAAATATTACACAGCACATGTATGGAGATCATAGGACACCTTGTGGGGGTCTTTTTTCTTCTTCCATCATTTGAATCTGAAAGTTGAACTCGAGTCACCAGGCTTAACAGCAAGGGCCTTGACCCATTGAACCTCCTCAACAGCAGCTCCTCCTTTTATTTTGTTAAAAGAATGCAAAAAAATCTATATATGTTGTGATGACTGTATTTTGCACACATTCTGTTTATTTATAAGACAAATGAACAAGATATTTTCAGCTCTTGTCATCTCTGAGAACCTGAGTGTTCAGATTGCTACATCTGTCAGAAACCTTACTAGTCAGCACATCTGGCTCCTTTATCTGTACAGGACTTCCCAGTCTGCAGAACAGCTTCACTACTGTCTCATCTGAAACCACTTCAGCTTTGAGAAGCAAACAAGGTAGATTTCATTCTAATGTTATAGATGAGGACATCTGACGGAGATCCAGGTTTGCTGAGGAGCAGAACCAGAGGTGCAACTTCGCTGCTCTGATTGGTCTTATCAGAAGAGATGCTAAGAAGAAAATGTGTCTTAAAAATGGACTGGATTGCACTTCCAAATGCAGCTATACCATCTCAATGGCTAAAGACAAAAGCACTACTTTCCTGCTCATCTTTTTCCCAAAGTAGGACTTTCCAAGGTGACTCCCCTCCACGTGAGGCAAGAACTTAGCTCTTCCTTCTGAAAGCTTCTCCTTGGCCTCCAGGGTTGTAATGGTTAATCTTGACTGTCAACTTGATTGAGAAATACTTAGGTTGGTAATGACACCATTAATTAGAGCATCAATTGACTACTTGGAAAGGATAATACTCTGAAAGGTGGGGCCTGGACGGAGAAGGTAGGTCATGAGTATGGGCAGGCATCAGTGTCTTGCTCTGGCCTTTTCCTATCTCCCTCCTTCTTTTCCTCCCTCCCTCCCCCACCCTCTGCATCCTGGCTTCTGTACTGAGAGCTGTTCACCCTCTGCTGTACCATGCACTTCTTACCATGGATTTACACGTCTGAAACCAGGAGCGAAGGTTAAATTTTTTCTCCCTTAAGTTCCTTCTGTCACATATTTCGGTCACGGCTTTACAAAAGGAACTAACATGGTGGTTAAACACAGGCAGCAGAGTGGATGGAATCAGATGGCAAGTGTCCTTCCCCATCACAGCTCATGAGCCCTGACTTTCTCATGGCCCTGCCTGACTCCAAGCAGACAGAGATGTGCACGTTTCCTATGCCCAAGATGCTCTACTATACAAAAAGTACTAGGGTGTGTATAGGATTTGCAGAATTAGGACAAGGTCCCCCGAAGAACACTCGGAAAAACAGTATAAAGAAATAAACACAAAACATCTAATCTTTTTTGAAAGCCTTTTGCTATGTTCTCTCACATTCATTTTTTATTAGTCCACCTTGACAACAGTTTGTAATGTACCACCCATAATGTAAACCTGCTCTCTGATTTAGAAAGTGGAAGCTTGTTATGTCACGTGACTAACTTGCCCCAGAGATCACACTAATAAATGAAGGAATCTGATGCCCTGGTTCTTCTTTTCTCTGCACCTCTTTTTTTGTAGTGTGTGTCTACATATATGTGTATTCCATTGTGTGCATGTGTAGTTCAGAGGACAACTTTTGGCAATAGGTTCCCTTCTACAATGTACATTCTGGAGTTCCATCTCATACTGTCATGATTAAAGCCATGCTTCTTCACCCACTGAGACATCTCACTGGCCCTTTCTCAACCTTTTGATTCTGTATAATGAGCCTTTTTTTGATACCTCAAGAGTTTATTTATATAAGTGGAGGGCACAGCTAATGGAGAAGGATAAGCAGAGTCTGGCAATTCAGCTTGCTAACTTTTACTTCTTAAACTGTGTGATGAGTATACAGAAGCCTGTATGTAGCTTTTTATACTTTTCATATCTTAAACATTTCAAGGCACTTTTTAAAGTGGGGACTGAGTCTGAATAGTAATAGATTCTTATGTTGGAAAGAATCATTTTGCCAAAATGTCAACAAGAAAATGGGCTTGTAGTATTATTGGTATTTATTGCACATATTATTTCCTAGATAACTTTAAATAATTTATTTACATGCATTTACTTACCTTACCTAGCAACTTTAATACACAGTAATACCTTCCGTATCAGATGGAGAAGATGAGTCAAATCTTCAGATAAGGTTGAAAATCTTTTGGGCATCTGTTGCAGTGTGCCAGTTTCAATCTGTAGATATTTGCATCCAGTAAAACTGGGAATTCAAAATAGCTCTTCCGTGACAATGTTGGAGAATGGGCTAGTGCAGATGGCAGCGATTGTGAAGAAATGTTTCATGCATGAGACGACTCTCTTTCACTGATGTGAGGAAGGACTACGTGATTAATGTAGGGTTCTGCCTGTTGAAACTTCTTTGTGAGAAGGGCGGGGTAGGGGTGGGATTTAAAACTCCCAAAGGTCAAATTTCTCCTGCTTGCATAGGAAGTCTAAGAAAATATAATTTGGGATTACTGCTATCTATACTAAAACACACACACGCACACGCACAGGCACACGCACACACTTTCCGAGGCGGGGTTGACAACTGCAGAGTGGAGGACCACAGCTAGGGGGCGCCCTCTCCAGCAGGGCCGCTCTGTTTTGGGGCGCACTCCCCTCCCTTCGCTGCTCCTGGCGAGCTGAGAAGGCGGAAGCAGCGGCGGCCGCGGCTGGGGCTGAGGCTCCGGCCGTCGGCGGACGCAGCAGCCGCGGCCCACGAACCGGCAGTTTGGCGTCGGAACCACTAGGTCTCAGAGTGCCGCGTATGAAGGCGACGCAGCGCAGCCCGGGGGAGCCTTCCCAGTTGGCTGTGAAGTTTCTGAGTGTGCGATCGGTGAGTGAGCGGCTTCGAACTTGAGTTCCGGTGGCCGCGGGCCCGGGAGAGTCGCCCCCGGTTCCCCATGGGACAGGGACGTGTCGCCGCGGGCCCTCGCTTCCCACAGAGGAGAGTGGCCATCCCCAGGTCCTCCCTTGGGTCTGGGACTCTGCCCCCTGTCCCCTCTCTTCTGGGTAGCCCTAGGACCCCGTATCTTCACCAGGTCACCTCCGTCCCTGTCGTCTGACAGGTGCAGGACGCGCCGCTGTCCTCCCACGAGCTAGGGGCGCCCTCTGTGCCCTCCCCCGGACTGCAGGTCTCCCGCGAACCCGCCCCTGGTTTTTAGGAGCCTCTCCTGGCGTTTCTGTCGCCTTCAGGCTCACGGCACCCCACTCCCCAGCCCTTCTCTTCCTCACCTGGTATTTTCCCCTTTCCAGGGAAGGAAATCGCCTGCTGGGTTTTCCCGTCCCTTCCAGCTTAAATTAAAAAGAAAAGTAAACAAAAATCCCTTCAAACTCCCAGAGTGCAGGGGAAAACTTCTTTGTGTGCCCTTTTAAATTCGAGAGCGGATCTAACCTAAGCAGCAAGTTTTTTTGTTTTTTGTTTTTTGTTTTTTTGTTTTAAAAAAAGTACGATGACACCAATGTTCCCCTCCCCACCCCTGCACTCTAGCGATTGTTCCAGACGCAGTATTGCTAAAGCTGTTCCTAGTATTTGGCTTCAGGGGAACTCCGGATGAGACTTAGACTGTCTTCCTTAGTGTGTGAACAGAAAGCACCTAAAGCTTGGATGCATAGGATTTGCTTGGTTTTTTTTGAGAGCAGGTGACTAGCCTACGACACAAGTGTAGAAATGAGAACTTGTCACATATGAAGTGTAGGCTTTGTTGTGACTTGAGCTGCTGGCATTTCTTACATCCTTTGATGATGCTGGGTTGGGGAGAGTTCTTTTTGGTTTTTTGAGGTGGAGGGTGAAGTGTGGCCGGCTTGGTGTCATGTGATTAGAGGAAAGTATTTGAACCAGTGGCTTGGCCACATGATGGATACAAGGATCATATCTGAATTTCAGACTTGATGTTCTATATATACTATTTCAATATTATAGCCCTGTTTTTCTTGATATCTACTGCTTATAAATTTTGGTCTCTTGACTTGTGTAAGGGAGTGTCCAGAATCTCGGGTTTTAGAGGAGCAAACAATCTCTGAGTAAGGAAAAGATCCTTGAACTTGAGTTCAAAGGTAAATGACATCAATCGAATATTTGTATTATTTCTTAACCATTATAGCACAGTTTTCAGGTCTTTGTATTTTAAGAATGGATTTTTTTAAGAATTTGGTACATGATTGCAGTTAGTAAAGTTTGGGTTTGGGTTTGTTTTTTTACATTGTGTGTGTGTGTGTGTGTGTGTGTATGTGTGTAGGCCTTCTTCCATAGGCTCGCCTACGGAGGTCACAGGATAATCGGTGGGCTCCACCTAGTGAGCCCCTTATAGTAGAGAATTAACGTTAACTTGTCAGTATTTTCTTCTGTGTAGTTTTGATTTATGAATTACATGTTTACTTATATATGCACTCCAGCTGACTTAGAATGTATGCTTTCAAGACACAACTTAGACATTTCTTTAGTTTCACACATCCTAGCATTAGCATCAGTGGGTCATCCTACCCCACATGCAAGACATCTGACAGCATTGTCTCTGAATTATATTCTATACCTAGATATAGATCTGTAGCTATAAGCCATGATTTCTGACAAGACTGATTTCCCTATTAACTCACTGTGTAATTGAGACAGGTTGGTAAGGGTTACCTCCAGGGTGCTTCATCAAAGCATGCTGTACTAGATTGTAAGGGGCAAACAATTGCAGTCATGAAATACCAGATAAAGGACTTGCATTTCATTCTGCCCCTTCTGTTCATGGAGAAAGCAACCCAAATAAATAAGTTAATTAATTAAATAATTTTTAAATTTTTTAAAAGTTGTGAGAAATATTTATACCAATTCATATAAACTTATTTTAGTGAGTCTGGAGGCCAGTTTTGTAACAGCTCATAAGGAGAATCTCCAGAGAATAGTGTTTCTTCATACACCATATTATGTTCTTACCTCGGTAGCTGATTCAGCTCAGTCTTCCTTCTCGTTAATGAAGATAGCTTGTAGGGAAGTCAGAGAGGTGACTTTCTAACCTGTCGTTGCAGGATGTAAAAGTAAAGGGGAAAATATTTGTAAAACATGCTTGTTTTAGCTTAATTCCCTAATATTAAGTAGGTTGCAGTTTAATTACTATGTGTTAAGTTATTTGCAAGAAACAAGTTTCTGTGTTCTTAAAGCATGAGAAGTAATGAAAGCAACCTGATATTGGTTACATTGTTTTTCTAATGATAACACTTCTGATGCTTTATACCATAAAAGAGCTGGTATGTATGATAGATGTATATATGTATGTTTTTGGTAAACCAGTGAATTTAATTAGGGTTGCCCTCAGGAACATGAGTGAGGGGCTCTTGACTGGAGCATAGGCAACTTAACAGAAACTGTCTCGCCTCCATTAGCCTTTAACTGCACATAAGCCCTCAGAGAAAGGTGGCATTTTATGAGTTCTTCCCCCAACCTTGATGATGTTCCCCAACTTGACAATATTAAGGAGGGAATCTTTATCTTTTTAACTGATTTATTTACTTTTATTTATGTAGAGGTGTGTGTATCTGTGTATGCCTCAGATGTGTAGCCCACGAAAGCCAGAGGAAGGTACCAGATGCCCTGGAGCTGGAGATCTGGTTGGTTGTAAGCCTTCTGACTTGGATGCTGGGATCCGAACTTGGATCTTCTGGAAGAGCTACAGTTGTTCTTAGCTGCTGGGCTCTCTCTGCAGCTCCCAAGGAGGGATCCTGAGCAGATAATCAAGGCTGCTGAGAGAGTTAAGAATTCAGTGGGCATGTCAGTCCCAGGAAACAGCAGTCCCTGGCTCACCTCCCTGTGCTCTTGCCACTTCTTGGTCCACAGATGCTTGTATAGGTTTTGGGTTGGCTTTGTTTGTTTTTGAGACAGGGTTTTTCTGTGTAGCCCTAGTTGCCCTGGAACCACTCTATAGACCAGACTGACTTCAAATTCAGAAATTTTACCGCCTCTACCCCTCCAGTGCTGGGATTAAAGGAATGAGCCACCACTGCCTCCTGCTTGTGTACGGTTTTTAAGAGTGCACTTGCAGCCTGGTGTGGTAGCTCACGCCTTTAATCCCAGCACTGGAGGCAGAGGCAAGTGGATCTCTGTGAGTTTGAGGCTAGACTGGAGTATGGAATGAGTTCCAGGATAGCTAGGACTGCACAGAGAAACCCTGTTGGAGAGGTGGAGAGGGGGGAGTGCACTCCTTCAGTGGAAATTGTTGCTGTTAGGCATGTTTTCCTAGGAACATGTCATTCATAAAAGTTCTCCGTAAATCAGATGACAGTCAAATCTTGACTTGGACAGCAAGAAAACAACAGAGACTGTCTGTAAGCCAATTTTTAAACTAAACCTTTGGCAGGAAAGGAAGACTAAGTTCATTGACGCTTGTCATATCAACACATATGGATATGTGCTGTGCAGCTTAGTAACAAGTATAAATGTCTCTGAAGTGGCTTTACTAAGCAAAACAAAACAGCTAAAAAGTTACAGGTTTAATGTATTGTTATCAAGGCATAAAAATGGACATTCTTGTATATACACTATGGGAGTGAAGATTAGAAAGCCTTTGATATATTTTGGATAAGCAACATCATTTATCAGAAATCTTTAAAAATTACTTGTCCTTTCACCCAATTCTACTTCCATGACTAGAAACCACGACTAAGAAAATAGATACAAGAATGTGTATGAGGGGGAACATAACAAAAGATATGATCCAGAGTTGGCATAACTCTTTAGTCCTCAGATATGAAGGCAGTAAAGAGGATTCTACACTCAAATTTTTGGACAAAAGCACGCACACCTAGTTCTGCTGTATGTCACGGTCTCTCATTCCTTCCTGTCTCCCTTTCCTAGAAGCTCACATTAGAAATGGCAAGGCTTTGGGAGATAATTTCAACTTTTAAAAATTATATCAAAAATAAAGTAAAATAGTATGTAATTGCTGATGAACCATTGGAGTTTTATCAACTCAATATAATAACACTGGACAGCATTAAAAAAATAAATCTTAAATTTTTTTTGTCGAAACCCAGATAAACAGTGTAGTACATAAGTGTCTAGGCTCTGGGGTCAGGTCGACCTTGGGTGTGATCGAACTCGGTTACTTCGACGATGATCCTGGGCAAGTTGGCCTTTTTAAGCTCCATGGTTTTCACTCTGATAGTGAGAATTGTACTATGTAAAAACATGAAATAATAACTTGTTCTAATTGCCAGGTACAGCTTCAGTGCTTTAGTTCACATTAACACATGTGATCCTTGCAGGAATCAAATGGAACCTTTCACTAACCTCATTTTACAGGAGAGGAAACTAAAGCATAAAAGGATTGTGAGCTCTGTCCAAGTCATGACCAAGTGACTGAGAAAAGCCTACTGGGCTGTCCAAACTAGCCATGAGCTCTGTACTGCGCCTCAGTACTGCCACCTTTAGGTTTTGGTTTTGTTGTTGTTTGTTTTGAGATTTATTTTATTTTTAATTATTTGTGTGTCTACATACATGTGAGTTCAGGTGCTTATAAAAGCCAGATTCCCTGGAGCCAGAGTTACAGGTTAGCCACCTAACCAACATGGATGAAGGTACGAAACTCAGGTGTCCTGGAAGAGCAGGAACTCTTATCGTCTGAGCCATCCTCCAACCCTCCTTCTTCTTTGTAGGTACCTATCAGATAGGGATCGAAAGGCTTGCAGCATATGCAAAGGTGTTTGTTGTTATAGTGGAAAGCCGTGAGCACCCGTCTTCATTTCCAGTTCAGGGGATTGAACCTAGATCCTCACATTGCAGGCAGGCCTACCTCTGGGCTGTTTCACTAGCATTCTGTTGACTGTTTTGAAACAGGGTTTCCCTATTTTATCTAGACTTGTCTAGAATTCTCTGTCCTCCTGGATCAGCTTCTCTAGTAGTTGGGATAACAGACCTATCCCCACGAGAGCCAACTAAGAACATCCTTCTTTTTATTATTATTGTTGTTGTTGTTATTAGAGTTTTTGTTGTTATTTAATACATTTATGTATTGCTGTGTGAGAGGGGAGGTAGGTGTCACATGTATGGAGGTCAGAGGACAACTTGTGGGTTCTAAGGATTGAACTCAGGTGGTCATGTTTCGAGGCAAGCATCTTTCTTTACCCACTGAGCCATCTCAGTGATTTGGTAGCCACTGCTTAATTAATCCTCCGTTTGGCAAAGTGACAGAAAGAATTTTTGAATAGACAGTCATGGAGGTAATTGTCTGCCTATTGACTAGAGATTTGAATTCTGCTTGTAGAATTATAGTTTGCATTAGGGATTTTCCTCAGAGATAATTAGCTAAGCTAAAGACATGGTTGGTTGTAGGTGATACCAGGCTTGTCCATGTTCACATCTCATCTCACGAATGTAACCTAACAGTTTAGAATTTGGAAGCGTCTGTCTGCTCCTAGTTTTCCATAGGGAAAGAAGCCTCATGTGTTTTTCCAGGCATTAGTAATAAAACATGGTCATCTGATCTGGCTGAAGGCAGGAGACAAACTTAAATTCCATTATTTCTGTATAATAAAAATCACCACATTGAACATTTAGAAATCCACATGGAATTTTCGATACAGAAAAGGAAACAAAGTTCCAAGTGGTTCCAGTTACTTGCCCCAGATCACATACCCACAACTGACTGGTATGTGGTCATTTGGTTCCCTGCTAGCTGTACTAGTCTCTTCAGCTTAGACTACCTAAAGGACCTTCAGTGACGTAGAGAACTTCCTCAGGGCTGGAGAGGTGGCTTAGCAGCTAAAGGCTAAGCTCACAGTCACATCTCACTGGATGTTTAGTAAGCATTGACTGTTATGTGGAAAAACCTGGCGCTAAGGTCTGAGCATGACTGTAAACAGGTGACAGAGGAGGGTATTGCAGTTGAAGTTCTTGTCTTTTCAACCTCCTGTTGTTGCATTAGTCCACAAACTTTTCTTGAAGGATCTGCATCGTCTTTGTGGTCTGCATAGGCGATTCATAAACATTGTGAAGGAGGGAATGAGATAACTTACTATGAAGAGGTAGTTATGAAACAAAGCTCAAAACACCTTAAAAGCTATTTTGTAAATAACATTAAAACGGTATGGTAGGAGACTATATAGATAAACTATATATTTGCATGCTACAGCATTTTGTCATTGTTTTTCTTCGTGCTATGTTTGCAGATTGACTGACAACAAAGCTACTATGAGTCTCTTAAACTGTGAAAACAGCTGTGGGTCCAGCCAGTCGTCAAGTGACTGCTGTGCTGCCATGGCCGCCTCCTGCAGTGCTGCAATGAAAGATGACTGCGTGAGTGGCTCTGCCAGCACGGGGCACCTCTCCAGCTCCTTCATGGAGGAGATCCAGGGGTATGATGTGGAGTTTGACCCGCCTTTGGAAAGCAAGTATGAGTGCCCCATCTGCTTGATGGCTTTGCGGGAACCAGTGCAAACACCATGTGGCCACAGGTTCTGCAAAGCCTGCATCATCAAATCCATAAGGTATTTGATTTTAAGAAAGAATGGTGCCCTATAGCAAGTGTAACCAAATGTAAACAGCTTGTGAGAAACAGGCCCTCCCAAGAATAGGCAGACAGAAAACGCTGGCCAGGAAAACAGCAGAATGGACAGAAAAGTGAGACAGTTGGGTCCTATCCCAGTTTGTACTGAGGTAGGAATGGAGGCTTCTGTGTCTTCCCACCCAGGCAACCAGGAACACTGGAAAGTAAATAGCTACTTTTGTCTTGAGCAATTCTGTTGCAGACTGGGAGAGGATTCTGTTTCATGAAAGTAATATTTTTAATTTGCCTTGAATTAGGCTACTAGAGCAGTGGTTCTCAGCCTGTGGGGCTGCAACCCCTTTGGAGGCCAGATGACCATTTCATGGGGGTTGCAGACCAGATATTCTGCATATCAGATATTTACATTACAATTCATAACAATTGCAAAATTACAGTTTTGAAGTAGCAACGAAAGTAATTTTGTGGTTATGAGGGGGGTGGGGGTCACCAGAACACAAGGAACTGACTGTCTTAAAGAGTCTCGGCATCAGGAAGGTTGAGAACCACTCTATGATAAACCCAACCAGGTGAAGAAGCCTGATTCTGTGAGTGATTATGTATTCTATTATTAGCTGTAGTAAGTTCTGTTGCCTCCTGTCTAGGAGCAATTGTAAGATGACCAGCATTTCCATAATCTAATCCCTTCTCTCTGCTGCTACAACCACACCCTCCTCACACAGCCATGCGTAAGTCAGCTCTAACAGCCCTCCCTCCTAGCCTTGACCCCTTCCAGTCTCATTACAGCAGCCGGAGTGGCAAGACAAATGACGTCTCCTTGGCTCAGAACACCCTTCATGAATTGTCTGGCAGTAAAAGTCCTTGGAAGGCCATGTGATTCATTTTCTGCCCTCTCCAAGGGCTCACTCCCTTCCATTCCTCGACTCGTGCTGCCCATTGTACCTGTAGGCACAGTGCTGCTTGGTGAGCTGAAACACACTGATAGGAGTCCTGGCTACTCCATACCACCATGGCAAGCCACAACTCTACTTGCCTTCCACTACACCAGATCTTCCTTGCCAAGCTATTCTTTTCTCATTTTCCCCTGGCACTTTTGCCCTTAAATACCTAGAAATCAATGTGTTTTGTCTGCCTACACAACTGGAAAGTAGATCCTTGAGACTGAGATGTTATATTGGTTTTCTCTAGTTACAGGAACAGTGCCTTCTCCACAATAGGCACTTAGTATGTGATTGTTTTAAGTGGATTCAACTATACAGGAGAAAAAAGATCATCATTTAGTTCAACTCAGTCTCACCTCCTAGGTTCTGTTACCTCCTCACTGACCAACAGTCTGTGAACCACAAATGGATCCCTCCACTGAGGAGGTCAGAGCCCTCATGTAGTTCCAATCACTTCTCCAAAGCTGTGTCGAGCATTGCTGCTTTAGGAAACAAAGTTAAATGATCCCTAATTAGACTATGGCAATCTTGGGCTACTCAGTGGTCTATACATTTTTATCTCTCAATTTCTGCACCAACTTTCCAATAAAACTTGAAATTAAGGTGACCATATCCTGGAGCTTGAATTAAGTTACAGGGGAGCAACACAGCTCTTCAGTTTGAGGGGAAACGTGTTACCATTAAATTAGTAAGGGTTTTAGAGAATAAGGTTATTTATTTGTGTGTTTGTTTTCCAGCCTTGGCACTATTAATATTTGGGACCAGATAATTCTTTATCATGGCACAGTGTCTTCTCCCTCTTAGGCCATGGGCTGCATCTGCTCTGTGCTCACTAGATGCTCATGTGCCACCTTCGTGCCAGCATGTGAGGTCATGGTGTCTCCTGGGACCTCTGGGTTACCACACAGCAGATCAGGTTCCTCCTCCTCTATATGCTTTTAAAAGTAGGTAAAAATGGTAGCACATGAGACATGCTGAAATGTGCACTGTTTTATCAAGTGTCTAAGAAGGTAGCTGGCTAACCTTTAGAAGTCTTTGGAGCAAAAGATTTTGGAAGTTGTAGGACAGTGATATGAAACAGACAGATTCCACAGAAGGATATCTGAGGCTTCACTCCCCCAGTTCCTTTGAAGCTAGAAGTAGCTGCATACTGCCACTCCAGTGCTCTCAAGAACAACTGCTGTAAAGTCATCATTCACTGCCATTCAAGAAATCAAAACAGATCTTGGTCTAATTTCATTTTCTTTGGATTATCTAAAACTACAGGTGATGATTATAGACTTACTTTGTAAAGTTCTTACTTTCTCTTAGCTATATATGTTTTATAGATTTGTTCCTGGCTTTCAGTGTTTTAAAAGAATCTGATGGTTTATTATGTTTTTGTTTTTCTTTTCAAACTGAATATGTAGTCCTGGTTGTCCAGGAGCTCCCTAGGTAGACTAGGCTGGCATAGAGATCCCACAGCTGGCATGCTTTATATAATCTTAATCAGGCCCCGTAAAGATAATCTCTACACTTCACTTTGATTAGTTCTGTGCTGTTTGAGAGCAGGCACCATGTCCTGTCATAGCAGCAAAAGCAGTGATGAACAAATGTTTCTTCATTTCATTTTTATGTCAACCGGACTATTTTATTCAATATTTTGTTTATTTTCTAACTGGAATCTATGCCACAATCTACAACCTGTTAGCTTTCTTTCTTTCTTTTTTTTTTTTTAATTTTTCGAGACAGGGTTTCTCTGTGTAGTCCTGGCTGGCCTGGAACTCACTATGTAGACCAGGCAGGCTGGCCTCGAACTCAGAAATCCACCTGCCTCTGCCTCCCAAGTGCTGGGATTAAAGGCGTGCGCCACCACTGCCCAGCACCTGTTAGCTTTCTTAGACAGTCAGTGTGGTGCTAGTTTGCATTCATTTTGCAAATGAATTCATAAACTCTAGTGAGAATTCTGGAATTTGGGGTTCTTTTTTTAAAAACACAGAAGTATTATAAGAATGTGCTTTTGCTTTAATTCTAAGTATGAGGATATGGGGACTGCTTTGGACTGTCCATAGCAGCTGACTATGATTTGCCTCATGCACTAGGAACGCTGGGAACTTTTTCAGAGGATATGTGGTGAGAGATAGGTTGTTGGTCATTCACAGGGATTGCTTGCAGTTTGTTAATAGTTGTGCTCAAAGAAGAAACAAATGGAAAGAAATTAGATTCAGGGATCTCTTCCCCACCCTCTCTTTCCTCTTTCCCTCCCTCTCTCCCTCTTGACTTTGTAAAATTCTGAGTTTTTCCTCTTGTCCCCATGCTCCCAGATTAGCGACTCTTGACTCAAATATATTTATAGATACCTAGTTTATAAGCTTTGGCTGTTCCATGTTTAGATCATAACTTAATATCCCATTTATTCTAATCTAAGTTCTGCTACATAGCTGGTTACCTCTGCTCACTTCCCATGCCTCTGACTCTTCCATGTTCCAGGGCCAGTCCTCCCATTCTTGGCTCTATCCCAGAATCCTTTCTGCCTACTAGATGTCCCACCTCCAATTCTACCCTTTTCTATAGACCCTAGGTTTTTATTGACAAGTGATGCAACCATATAGTACACAAGAGATTTTTCTCTACACCCTTCTATCCTTCTTTCTCTCTAGTCTAGTGATAGGGAGTGAAACGGAGATAACAGGTGAAAAAAAACGAAGAACCTACAAAGTGGCAAAGGTCAGCCACACTCTACAGTACACATACCATTTGGGTGTTGCAGTGCAATATAATGCACAGATGGATGATTTAGACTACTAACTCGAAGTTCCCTGGTTCTTTTAGGGATGCAGGTCACAAGTGCCCAGTTGACAATGAAATACTGCTGGAAAATCAACTGTTTCCTGACAATTTTGCAAAGCGAGAGATTCTTTCCCTGACAGTAAAGTGCCCAAATAAAGGCTGTTTGCAAAAGATGGAACTGAGACATCTCGAGGTATTAAGGGTGTCTTCTAGCTGTTGTCACAATGTAATCTCTAGAGCATAAAGCCTTTGCTCTGCTACCTGTGTGGTATAGGCTATAGCAATTGGCTAACAGGTTCTTGCCAAATACTAATATCCCTTTCATCATTAAATGCAAAAACTTAGAAAATGTTTTTTTTTTCTTTCTGCTTCAGCTTTGTCCCAGCAACAAAAATAAGTCTGTGTTCTTGTAATATAACAGTTGAAGAGCTCTTTAATTGTAAGAATTAAATTTTGACCCCATAACTTTATTTCTTGCCTTTTGAAATTTTTTTAAAAATAAAAACGCCTTCTAGCCATTACCTCAGCACCTTCTGTTTCCTTTGTTTCTGTGTCACACAGGAAGTGTGACAACCTCATGCTTTCCATTTCTCTAAATTGCACATTGTAGTATCCACTAAATAAAATTTTTATATAGTTAAAAAGTTAGCTAAAGCAATGAGATAATTTTCTTTTTAAATAAGGTAAATCAATTCTTTGATTTTTTTTAAACCAGAAATCAAATATGGTCAATATTCTGTTTGAAATAAATGTTTAGGGCATATTTGAAGTCTGTCCCTCTTATTTAGTGCTTTCTCTTTTTTCTTTTTTTTTTTTTAAAAAAGATTTGTTCATTTGTGTGTATGCATACACATACGTGTGTGTTTGAGTGTGTACTGTGTGTGCAAGTTCCCCTGGAGGCCAGAGAGGTACTGGACCCTTGGAGTTACAGACAGTTGTTGTCAGCCCAGTGTGGCTGCTGAGAACAGAATCCAGATCCTCTTGAAGAGCAGCAGTCACTTTAGTCACCGAGCCACCTCTTCAGCCATTTTTGTGAGAGTGACCCTTTCAGCATTGTTTAAATTGCTAATCTGGAAATCCAACTTCTTCCTAAAACTTCCCTAACTGGAAGTATAAATTTGAGACTTCACATTCTTTTTTTATAAACTTGACATCCACAATTATTAATTGAAAGGTTCCATTAAGATCTTCATACCGTGTATGGCTAGAGAATCTGGGCTTCAGTCGCTGTTCTAATTTGATTTCTGTTGCTGTGATTACTCTGACTAAAAGCAGTTTAGGGTGGGAAAGGGTTTATTTGACTTAGAGCTCCAGATCATTGCCTGTTATTGAGAAAATTTGCTGGCTAGCTCACAGAGCCTTGCTCAGCTAGCTTTTTATCCAGACCAGGACCACCTGCCCAAGGAATGGTGCCATCCACAGTAGGCTGGGCCCTCCCACTTCAATTAATAGTCAAGGCAGTCCCCTATAGACATGCCCGATCTGAGCAGTCCCTCAGTGAGACTTTGTTCTTGGGGTGACTTAGGTTATATCTAGTTGGCAGTTAAAATTAATTCTGAGAGGGAAAAAATGTATTATTAGAAGAGATTGTCTTTAGAAAACTTTTTTATGGTTTTCAAATATTAATCAATTATTTTGCTTTATATAGGATCATCAAGTACATTGTGAATTTGCTCTAGTGAATTGTCCCCAGTGCCAACGTCCTTTCCAAAAGTGCCAGGTTAATACACACATTATCGAGGACTGTCCCAGGAGACAGGTTTCTTGTGTAAACTGTGCTGTGCCCATGGCATATGAAGAGAAAGAGGTATGTGCTAATTTAAATTTGTTTACTGCTTTTTAAGTGCATATTTGAAAGGGTTTAGCATTACATAGGATGTAACTACAAAAATGAGTTTATATCATCAGTTTTTTAAAACCAGTTGTTACGAAAGGAATAAAGTTTCAAGGCACTCACAAATCCTTAAGTGTGGAGTTTGTATTTGCATATCCTTAAAAAGCATTTTAAACTAGTTCCCGAGAGTAAACAATGAAAGAAAGCTGCTAGGAAAGATACATGCTGGCTTCCTTCCCTGTCTGAATTTTAATGAATGATTGGTCATGGACAAACAAGTAGTATGATTACTGTGTAAGATTTCTACAGACTTGTTTCACAAAGAGTGTGAGGTCTTGCATCTCTAAGAGAGACTTCATTAAGTACAGCAAGTGTGCTCTGGTGGTACCAAGTCAGTGTAGAAGCAGTAGAAGCAGCATGGAACCCGGCACTTGTGACGTTGAGTGGTTGTTTTCATTCTCCTGAGATGTAAGGAGGCCAATCAGTTTCATCCTAACAGTGTCTGTCGGGCTGACACTGAAATCCTACCCTGTACTCAGTGACTTCCTTAAAATTGTATTCCTCTAAATTGTTCCTCAGGAAATTGAGCATTTTATATTTTGTATGCTGATAAAATCGCTACTAAATATGTAAAATCTCATTCATAATTGGAACAAATTGGTACCTTTCTCAACCTGAACAAATTGGATGAACTTATGAGGAAAGTTATCTATTTTCAGCCTATCAAGTAAACCAGTTACTGTGTTCCAAAAAATGGGGCTCACCCTTCTGAGAACTTGGGCACCAAAGCCTCCTGCCCTACTGTTTGTTTGTTTACTTTAACTTACTGGAAAGAATTGTTACTAACTTGTCATGCTGATGCTAAAAACTGAAGCCTTTGGAGAATTCCAACATTAGCAAGTACAATCTATGCTAATCAGGAGTACTCTGCCTAGAGGTAAAAAGAAATGAGCTAACAGTGTTGTGTATGCTGACACATTCTTTGAAGAAGTCTGGAGACTAAGTCTCACTAGCAGAAGTCCCACATTTTAACTATGCATAAGCAAATACCCTTCATTTGCTCATGGTGAAAAATTATCTATAAAAATCAGTCTTTTTAATTTTTCAGATTTTCTCATACATTTCTTCATTCTCTCTTACAACTTAGCTCCATGATCAGAGCTGTCCTCTGGCAAATATCATCTGTGAGTACTGTGGTACAATCCTCATCAGAGAACAGGTAGGACTCTCTTTTGCAAATCACTATTTCCTTAAGAGCTTAAACAACTGCTAGGTCTTTTTAATTGACAATTTAAATTAATAAGGCAAAATTAGTACATTTTTAAGCAATCTGTTGTTCAAAATATTATAAAAATTAATGTAATTAACAGACATTTCAAAGGAATCAAAATATAACATTTTAGGTACTTAAAATTCTGAGTCATTTGCATAATATCTGTGTTTATATGTATTTATAAGAACTCCATTGGTTGGTAAGCCAGGTGGTATATGCCTTTAATCTCAGCACTCAGGTGACAGGTGGATCTCCATGAGTTCAAGGCCAACATGACTAGATAGTAAGTTCCAGGACTACACAGAGAGACCCTTCTCCTCCTTGCCCCACAAAAAAGGATTCCATTGGCTAGGGATGGAACTCAGGGGAGGAGAGACTCTGCTTAGTTCCCAGGGCTCCAAGTGTGATCCCTAGCACAGACAAAGAAATGAACAAAAACTCAACCAAATCAGATACGTTTAAGATCAAAACAATTGAAGGTAAAGGCCCCACTTAAAGACAAAACAGACTTACAGAGGATTGGATTTATACACTGCGATGAGGGCCTCCTTGTCAGAGACTGGCTGAGAGCAGGGAGACAGGAGAAAACTCCTCTGCTTAGTAGCTCAGTACTGTGTCATGCCAGCTCCTGGAGTCTGCAGAAGGCTTCCAGAACCTGCAGTGTCCCCAGCTATGGTGATCATCATGGAAGGCAGAAATAGTGATTAAAAAAAACCCTTATAATTATTAATCAAAAAAGGAGAATTCCATCCAGTTGCAATCGGTTGATGTTTAGGGAGTTTACCCACAAAGGATAAATATTAGTCACTAAATCTATGTGTGCCCAGAAACGTCTGTAAGTGAAGAAACTCATTAACTAGCTTACTTATAGGAAGAAGCAACAGGACCTGCCACTTGAGTGTTTCTATGTAGCTGTTAGTAAAGTAGTATTTTTCTAGGAATCCTAATTTGAATGTGTTAAATGTGTTGCTTATGAAGTCATCTCACAGCTCTGGTTTTCCTTTTATGTTCTCAATTAATATTTGATGGAAACTATGCTATATTTATAAAAGCTCAACAAAAATAAAATGTAATAAAGACAGAATCCATAAATGAAACATCAGAAAAATTGGACTTTGATCCTTGCTGTGACATGGACGTCATCTCAGTCAGTCCACAACTGTGGCTCAATCTCTACTGAAACTTGGGCCCTACTTTTACTTGGCTTCTCCCTCCCTCTTTCTGTCCTTCCTCTCCTTGCTCCTCCTCTTCTGTCACCCTATCTTTTCTTTCTTTTCTTTTTTCCTTTCTGTGCTGGGGTTTCACATCCCAGGTTCACATATGATAGGCAAGAGCACTTTGCCAGTGAGCTGCCTATCCAACCCCTTGCTACTTTTTCTGTATTTGGTTGGTTGATTTTGATTTTTTTTTTCAAGGTGTCTCCATGTAGCCCTTCCTGGCCTGGAACTCACTATGTAGATCAGGCTGGTTTTGAACTTACTGAAATCTACCAGCCGCTGCCTCTGAGTGCTAGGATTAAAGGCTGTGCCTTCATACCTGGCTCCCTTGGTACCATTTTTAAAGTATGGTCTCCTTTAATGAACTCGCCCTAAAGAGGATATCTTTGAGCACCCAAATCAAAGACCCAAATTTCTCCACCATGTCACCATGGTGCACATGAATGTCCTAGCAGATGCTCTCAAGAACCTCAGCCGTGCTGAAAAGAGGTCCTGAGTGAGCACACCAATCCTTTGGCTGTGCTCCAAAGTCATTCATTGTTCACGTAGTTACCATGATAGCAAAACATGGCTGCATGGCAAATTTGAAATCATTGATGATCACAGAGCTGGGAGAGTCGTTGTGAACCACACAGGCAAGTATGCAATGATCGACCCTAGGTTTGACAGCTCAAAGGATAGAAAATGACAGAGCAATCTGTTCCAGTCCCGTCAGTATGGCTTCATTGTACTGACAACCTCAGTTGGCATCATAGACCACAAAAAAAAAAAAAAAAAAACAAGATAAAAATACACAGGAGGGAAAATCCTGGGGTTCTCTTTCTAGAGCTGTAAAACATATAAGAAAAGTCTCCATGATCTGTGCTCAGGGTCAGTCTTTTTTAACCTTTCCAGCAGAATAGCAAATGTATGGCAGTGTGGAATGTGCCGACTGGTAATACTTCTCTTAAATCAACTAAGCCAGTCCTGTAACCACACCTTCACTTGAGTTGAGGCTGGGGTGCTGTGTCCAGTCCAGGATGGTTGCCTCTCTACCATATAACAACAGAGTTCCCCAGTAGAACCAGAATAGGCCGGGGCTTCAGACATAAGGTAACTTATAAAAGGTTGTCAGACGAGAAGTAACAGATCTGGTCAGTGGTTTTAATGAATGTATGACTTGTCCCTTATTAAATGACTGAGATTTCAGAGAGGGCTTTGGGGTTGTCAGAGTGTTTTCTTGAAAAATACCACAAGAGGGCGCCAGTTCCCTACAGTAGAAACAAATCCATTGTAAGAAATGAAGTTTAGTAAAATGGGAGGTGATATTGTAAGATGTTACTACTTAATTTCTCTCAGAATTGTGAAGAAGCCATATATAGTTTTGCTTCATATAAGTTAAATTTACTTTTAAATGTACTGACATCATCTAGAACATGATATGCAGGGGAAGACATTTTTCAGCCTTTGTTTTGATTTTCAGATGCCTAATCATTATGATCTAGACTGCCCAACAGCTCCGATCCCTTGCACATTCAATGTTTTTGGCTGTCATGAAAAGGTAAGTTTTCTTTGAATTCTGGAATATGAATTTTTAAAAAATATACTCAGATCTATGGCCTACTGAAGAATACTAACAAATTTAAATTTTAAGTTTTTATAAAACATTTATATAAACATCATTGGTGTAAACTATTGTGAGTACTGATACCATTACACACAATACTTGGCAGTGGCTAAAGTATTTAAGCATAACTGAACATGTCTAAACTACATATTTGTCTTTTTCCATTTGTGTGTGCACGTACATGTGCACGAATGTACATCAGTATGTATGGGGGTCCGTGTGTTCCATGCATGCATGTGGCGGTCAAAGGACAGCTTATAGGAGTTACTTTTCTCCTTCTACCATGTGGATCCCAGGGGATCAAAGGGTTATCAGTCTTGGTGGCATTATTCATTGAGCCATCTTAACAGCCTGTGGACTGAATCTTCGCAGGTGGGAAGGACAGTGTTCAGGGCAGCCCTGGACAATGCTTCAGGCGTTGCTAGCATCTGCCTATATCAGGTGGCTCACAGTGGCCTGGAACTCTAGCTCCAGAGGATCCTCTGGCCCCTGTAGCACCTGCATTTGCATGTACATCCCCAAACACACCTATAGTTTAAAATAAAAATAAAATTTTACCAAAAAAAAAAAAAGTCCAAGAAGACAAGGGAAAGGGCTGGGGAGGTGGCTCAGAGGTTAAGAGCACTAAGTGCTCTTCCAGAGGTCCTGAGGTCAAATTCCCAGCAACTACATGGTGGCTCACAACCATCTGTAATGGGATCTCTTTCTGGTGTGTCTGAGGACAGTGACAGTTTACTCATGTAAATAAAATAAATAGATAAATCTTTTTAAAAAAGACAAGGGAAAATGAATATGGTGATTTATTAAAGTATTTTTCTGTTTTGCAGTTTTTTTATTTTTTGTTTTTTATGTTATTCAATCTAGCAATGGCAGGGAAGACTGAAGTAGAATAAGGAAAGGGAGTATGTGAGCTTTTCACTAACAGCCCCCAAAATCAGGGCAGCATGAGTAATGAAAGTGAGGGGAGAGAGATGTAGGAGCCCAGGCATATTACAGAGGAGTCTAATAGGAACTAAATAGATGGGCAGAGAAAGGGGGGGCGCATCCAGAATGAAAGTCTAATAAGAACTAAGTAGATAGAGAAAAGGCAGGGCATCCAGAAGGACTGGAGCCTTAGTCATTGGCTCGGAGGGAAAGACTTCAACAAAAGCAGTGAACACAGGCAGAAGCTTACAAAGGAAGAGAAGGTGTTTTAATGGAATTGAGTCTTCTCAGCTCTGGCACATTTGAGTGGAGATGGCCCACATGTAAGAAACGGTGAAGTGGTATTACAGGGTGAGTGTTACAGGACAGAGAAGCAAACAGTACTTATAACAAGTGATGCAGTGAGCTGGACAGTCCCGCCACTGTCCCCAGGGCAGCTTCAAGAGAGGGTCACCCTGTGAAGTGTCTGACAGTTTGATGTGTGTGTTGGTGTCATTCTGTCTGGGGTATGCAATTACATGTTTGCTTCTCCACTGTACTTTTACAAATACTTAAACATACCTCACAGTTTAAAAACTAAAATAGAATGTTAACTCATATTTAAATGTTATGAGAAAGTTCTTTATTGTGTACATAGAGAAAAATGTTACATATATCAAAATATTAGTGAAGAGAGATAGTTGGTAGCCTGTCTTCTTTTTACTCACCTGTATTTTCTATTTTTTGATAATATAATTATGATTATCATAGAACATTTGGGACTTGATGACCTTAGAATACCATAGTGATGGCAGTTAGCAAGCAGTCAGCACCATAAGTGTGAGGTGAGGACTTGGCAGATAGGCCCAGGTGGTTTTAAATGAAAGGGGGAATAATGCTATTGGCTAAAACAAAGCATGACCGTAGAGGTTTGCTTTGTTTTTATAATGCAAAGATTCTGTCAGCTATAATCTGAGGAGGGAAGCATTAGAGGAAGAAGGAGCATACAGAAAAGAGACCTGGGTGCTTGTTGTCTGAGTTGGCAAAGGAGGGGTGTAGACGCTGCTTTCACAGACAGAAGGGAGAGTTATCAGAGTGACAGCTCAGAGTGTTCATCAGTTAGCTCCAACAAAATGAGAGGAGTATTTCATTGGATCAGGTGACAACAGAGAAGTGATAAAGATTTCAGAGAAATTGTGATGCTCCTTTTCCAGCCTCTTGCTGGCTGGCCTACTCTTTTTCCTCGACCTCAGTGATGTCCACAGCTTAGAGCTTGTTCCTCATTTCAGATGCAGAGGAATCACTTGGCACGACACTTGCAGGAGAATACCCAGTTGCACATGAGACTGTTGGCCCAGGCTGTTCATAATGTTAACCTCGCTTTGTGTCCATGTGATGCTTCCTCTCCATCCCGGGGATATCGCCCAGAGGACCCAAATTATGAGGAAACTATCAAACAGTTGGAGGGTCGCCTAGTAAGACAGGACCATCAAATCCGGGAGCTGACTGCCAAAATGGAAACTCAGAGTATGCATGTGAGCGATCTCAAACGGACCATCCGAACTCTTGAGGACAAGGTTGCCGAAATGGAAGCACAGCAGTGTAACGGGATTTACATTTGGAAGATTGGCAACTTTGGGATGCACTTGAAATCCCAAGAAGAGGAAAGACCTGTTGTCATTCATAGCCCTGGGTTCTACACAGGCAGACCTGGGTACAAGCTGTGCATGCGCCTGCACCTTCAGCTACCGACGGCTCAGCGCTGTGCAAACTATATATCCCTCTTTGTCCACACAATGCAAGGAGAATATGACAGCCACCTCCCCTGGCCCTTCCAGGGAACCATACGCCTTACAATTCTTGATCAGTCTGAAGCAGTTATAAGGCAAAACCACGAAGAGGTCATGGATGCTAAACCAGAACTGCTTGCCTTTCAGCGACCCACAATCCCACGGAACCCCAAAGGTTTTGGCTATGTAACATTTATGCACCTGGAAGCCTTAAGACAGGGAACTTTCGTTAAGGATGATACATTATTAGTTCGCTGTGAAGTCTCTACCCGCTTTGACATGGGTGGCCTTCGGAAGGAGGGTTTCCAGCCACGAAGTACTGATGCAGGGGTGTAGTGTCCATTTACTTGTGTTCAAAAACAAAGAACCATATGGAAAAGCCATGCTTTCTGTGCCCGGTCCCAGTAAACAATAGTCAAACAAGCAGTGGGAGAGGTGTGAGGCCTAGCAGCAGATGTCATCAGTGAGATCACATTCCACTCCTCACTGTTGACAAATATCTGAGGCAATTCCCATGGAAACCTACACGTCCCCTCTGTCTTCAACACCTTCACATTTAAGGGCCTGTGGCTCATCTGTTTGTCAGGGTACCTCTTCACTGTGCTTCCATGGGCTTCTCGGATGTCCATGTACTTTACTGTAAAACAAAGGCCAGAGTTAGTGTGCTGAAACTCAGTCGTTTAATAATGCTGGTGCCTTAACAACTCGAGGTGTTTTAGGACACTTTACTTTATTAAACATGAGAATCACCACTGCCTGTGCTGGTGCCAGTGGAAAAGTTACTGCTCTGGTGTTGAGTTCTCATTGTAGTTGACTCCTGTGAATTTCAGAGGCTTTGAACCATGGTCCCTGGAAAGCTTAAGTTCTCATGTACTCCCTCCTCCATTGTTCACTAAGGATCCAGGGACCGGTTTAACCCTTACTTATTTAGTGTGAATGTATTGTCCATTGAACACCAAGCATTCTCCCCTGCTTTCATATTTTGAAATACGTTCCCGGCAGCATCTTCCCAGTTTGTAATACTGTGGTCACATGGTTGCTAGCTGTTGAGTATTATTGCCATGTAACCTTTCTTGCCTGTTCAGTGCAGCTTGGTTTCCACAGCCCGTTGCACATCTTCTGTTGCTTGCAAATACAAAATCACCAGCCTGAGCAAGTGATTGAGCTCATCGGCCATTAAATGGCACCTCATAGGTGATGACAGCAACTCTTACAGCCAGGGAACTTCAGCCCTCTTAACTAACTTTTGATTTAGCTTAGTTAATTGAAACAAAATTGATTTCTCCAAGGGGCTGGAGAATTGGCTCAGTGGTTAAGAGCATTCGCCGCTCTTCCAGAGGACCCCCAGTCTGTAACTCCAGTTCCAGGGGTTCTGACACCCTTATACAGACACTCATACAGGCAAAACACCAGTGCACACAAAATTAAATAAATAAATAAATAAATAAATAAATAAATAAATATTGATTTCCTCAAAACAGAATTTATTGGAACTTGGGAAATTGTAGGCACCTGAGAGATGCCTAATCCAAGGTTGGCTCTCACGGCTGTGTGGACGCTCAGCTTGAGTGGTGGCTTTAGTCCAGCTCAGTAGAGGTTCTGAGCATATTCTGTGGAATGTATTAGCATGGCAGGTGTCCCTAATGTGGAGAGGTGACTGTTGTGCTGCTGTGTATTTGTTAATGTCCTGTACATATGTAGTACTTTGGAATCTAGTTCTCAGGGAGTCCTACGACTAGTTAGAGCCTTTGTAAGGAAGCGGAGGGAATCCTCTACTGCTGTTTACACAAGATCAGCTACGTGTTCTGGTAATACGGAAGGCATTCGTATCTCCAGCTGAATAGGAGTCCCAGCAGTGCTCAAACCTGCCCTGCTTCCAGAGAATGCTCAGAGCCCTTGATCAAGGAGTCTGATTTTCAGCTGTAGCTAGCAAGAGTCACTTTGACCTCTTCATGTTTCCCCTTGCTTCCATTCCACCCATGAAGGTGAGGGAAAGGCCTTGTCCCTTACCATTAGCACAAGCTAATCACAGGTCTCTGGTTGGGTCATGGAAATGTGTGTCCCTTAGCTGAGCTGCTTGTAGCACCTTCTACCTAAGGAACGCTGCATGGCCTCCAGTCTTGTAGTTGTTTCCCAGTGGATAAATGTGGCTTTGGTTGTTGTTGTTGTTGTCGTCGTTTTTTTACAGCAAACAGTAGTTATTTCTATATTTATTTAGAAATTGCCTGAAGAAAATGTAATCAGCTAGTTGAGGACTTATTTTCTGTATGTCTTTTTTAACTTTTTTACATTAAATATCACCACAAAATATCAGCTCCCCTCCCCCTCTCCGTGTTTCAGAAAAGGAAATGACATTTAAGAATTTCCTGAGCAGATTTCTCTTTTTAAAATGTCTCTATTAGGAAGAACAGCCATTTCCTGCTTTGGTTTTGACTGTTTTTTTTTTTTTAAGAAAAAAAAATTTTAGTATTTTTTTAGGGTTTTTTTTTTTTTTTTTTGCATAAGTTAAACTGTTCCCAGCTTTAAATTGTTCCTACCTATAAAGCAAGTCGGACTAGGTGTTTCTAGTGTCCATCTTGAGAAGCTCAGTGCTAAGCCACCGAACACTGACAATGCTCACTAAACGGCTTTAACAGTGGAAAGTTGGTGTGACTGTCCCTACTACTAACACAGATATGTCACTTCAGTTTAGGGTCCATCAGCTAAAATGCATCTTAGGTAGTTTTAGAACTTGCAGCATTTGGTGTTTGTCATAAGCCAACCAGTTATTTCATGATACTCAATTGCCATGAATTCAGAGTTAAAATAACCAAGCTGACATTCAGAGCCAGCGTCTAGAAAGGTCCTCAGGATCACGTCTTAACTAGAAAGCTGGTTTCTCTATCCGTACTTCACCAGCTCCCCAACTCCTAACCATTCTCTTTGTACCAAGTGGCCTACAAGAATCTACAGTCCAGCGTGCATTGGCCGTCTTTTCTTACCAGTCTAGAGCATTGCTATTTTTAAAGTTGTTTCTCCTTAGAAAAACGCCCAACTTACTATTGAAGATTTTTCTCCAAGTCATACATATTCCGATCAGGCCAGATGGTGGTTCTAGTGTAGTAATTGGTTACTGTCCTTTGGCTATCACCGTTTCTAGCCATTCTTCTTTCTTTCGGAGAATGAAGAGGAAAAGTGCATTAAAGTGCAAGAAGTGTGCCCTCACTCTAGTAAAAGCAACTGACAGGTGTGGGATGATCCCCAACCATTAAGTTCTGTGACTGGTATAAAGTTGAATTTGCACCAATATCAAACAAAATCAGACTAATGTAAATTATGTGTGCAATTAGAATATCTTCTTAAGGAGAAGCTGCTTGTTTCTGCTTTATCTAGAGTTTCCTTTAATTCTCTTGTGACTAGAAAGCATTTTAATTACTATCGAGGTTATTCTTAAGACTTTGAAGTGCCTTTCTCTTTTTGTCTTTTCTGACTTGCCTCAGATTCTCTCCATCGTCTTAACATAAAATGTCATTACATTTTTTTCTGGGGTGTTTGGTGATTAGTTTCCTGGTTGCCTTAAGGGAGTGAACAAGGCATAGTCAAGAGACATTTGATTGTCCGTTGAAATACTCTTTTTAAATGTCAGCGTTCTCAGGGTGACTGTCATTTGTTTCAAAGTTGATGTGATTGTCTGGGGAACAGATGGATGCTTCCCAATTCCCAGAATCCATAAAAATGAAACCAGATGTGATAACCTGAACTCGGGACACTGGGTCACAAGCCTTGAAGTCACTCGAAAAGGACGAAGCTATTTATTTCTGTGTGTTCTCTGTGTCCTTGATGTTTTAAACTGATCAACCCCACCCCCACCCAAAAAATTCAGGTTAGTAAAAAATATAATAATACAAGAAAACAATTCTAATTGAAAACACTGTGGAATGTGGAGAGGAACTTCTTTTCCTGTCCTGTGTCTCCTCAGCAGAACCCAGCCCTGCCTGACAGAGAAGAAAAGGGTGGCCTGCTGGTCACCTTCCACAAAGAATGTAGCCCAGACTGTCTCCTGAAAACCCAGTTTCCTTCGGTGCAGGCTCCAGGATTGGGCAGAGACCCCATTCTGGTCACTGGCTGAACTCCTGTTCTTAGCATACTGTGCATAGTCCTGGCCAATAGTAACAAGATTTAATGGAAGTCAAAGTGGAAGCTGGTTGTTTCTGGGTAGCCTGCTTGTCATGTAAGTCACTTGGTGAAGTGAGAATGTTCTTTTTCCTGCTTTTCTGCTAGGACTTTGCTATGGCAGGTATGTTTAAAGCCTAGTGACCTCCTACCGTCTAGGATCTGCAGTGACATTAGGTTTGCTCTGTGATTTAATGTTACTTTAATGTAATTTCTAATTGCTCTTTAAGACTGTTCAATCCTGAAATAATTAAACAACTTGGAGTTGTGTAAAATTCTCCTCGGAAACTTGTGATATTTATTGTAATTCACATTGTAGCTTCTGCTTTATGCTAACTTAAAATTTGTGGGAATGTTATGAGGAATTTTAATCTTATTTCTTCGTCTACAGGAATATTTTTCATAAAAGATTTATTTGGAAGCTTCTGGTTATGCAGAATGTTACTTTCTTAAGGGTATAATTTGGGGCACATTTTGCTAATATATATGATTTCAGGATTATGTTCCCTGGGGACTAAAGACAAGTGATTTAGCATATAGCTACTAAATTTAGAGTCAGGATCTAGATTGTTGTAAGGATCTCTGTAGCCTCTGTGGCCAGCAGCGTGGTAATCCCCGGAAGGCAAGAATGTAGTTCAGTTCAGTGCAGTGAGGTACTTGTTGTTGCTTCAAATTTCTGTAGTATGATGCTGAGTGGTTTATTTTTAGCATATGTAAGCCCAGCTCACCTTGGTGAAAACTTTTCTCATGATAATTAACTCAGTCCTGTGTATACGATAAAAGCATACATAAATCTCTTTGAGGAACAAAGTAAGCTAAGAAAAGATTAGATATAAACACATCAAACCATTATATCATAAGTGTAGCACCTTCCATAATGGCTTCTATAGACTGACTTAAAAAAAAAGCTTTGAGGGGAGGGGCTCAGACATGGACTCCTACCACACAGATTGCCCAAAGGACCCCAAGCTGGAATGCTTTTCTGTTCCCAGCCTTCTAGGTGGATAACAGGTTATGCATTCCTTCTCTTTGAAAGTACATCCCTGTATCCTAACATTCCAGGTTCCCCTAGTGCTAACTGTGAGCACAAGGACCTCCATGCTTCCTACAGATTTTATTGCTCACTGACCACTTATGTTCAATTTTATTTCTAATAGTTTAGCTACCTGTAAAATGGGAGCTGTAAAATGGGAGCTGGGATTTGAAATTTAGATATTATGGAGTAGTTAACATTATTAATACTTAGGTCCGTTTAGGGAGATATTGTATAAACTTAGATTGCTTATAATTTTATAACTATGAAAAACTGTATAATAAAATCTGACTTTTAAAAAAATCAAAATGTGGGCTGGAGAAAGGGCTCAGTGGTTAAAAGTACCACCTGCTTTTCCAAGGTCCTGAGTTCAATTCCCAGCAACCACATGGTGGCTCACAACCATCTGTAATGAGATCTGATGCCCTCTTGTGGGTGTCTGAAGACAGCTCCAGTGTACTTATATAAATTAAATAAATAAATAAATCTTTTTTAAAACTCAAAATGCAGTGGTCAGATGGTCACAAGCATACTGTGCTCAGACCTTTCCTGCTGTGGAATTGGTAAGGTGTCTTTCTAGTGCTTCTGGACTTGGAGAAAATGCACTGTATGAGGCGGGGTTATAAAGATGAGGTGCAGATGGTAGTAATCTTAGGTTTCAATTGAGCAGGTTTGTTTAGAGACAAATTGAAACAGTCGTCAGATTCAGTACCCCACATTCATCCACACGTGCCACACACGATGCTGTACAAAGCAAACCCTGCCTGGCCTCCACCAGCTCCCTCCAGCCAGTGTAGCTGATGGCAGAACTTACACAGAGGGAAGGTCTGAGGTTTCTGTGCTGAGCAGGTTCCCTGCACTCCATCTAAGAGATATGTATGACATCTTTCCAAACCCAGGTCACCAATGCACACTCACATGCGTCTCACACAGGCACCTGTGGTCTGACTTTCATTTGCATCTTAGCTGTAAAAATAAGACCAAGACAACATGCCTTGAATTTTTTGAATATAGATACAGACTGACATACCTCCTCCTCCCCTCCTTTACTTTCTTATCAGCTTGTGTAATGCACAGTAGCTTTACAAATGAATACTTAAATACTTAATTGAAATGATTATATACATAGATATGCAAATATTGCAATGGTTTTAATAAAATAACTAATGTGCTTTAGTGTTACTCTGAAGTACTGGGCCTTGCTATGATGAAAAGAGAACAAATACCAGGTTCTAGTTTCTATTTGAAATTTAAAAAAAAAACAAAAACAAAAACATGAATACCTTTGCCCTTAAACAGTAAATGAGGACTCAGTGTAGCTCCTGATTTGGGCAATGATTTCTAGCCTGAAGCTTCAAGTCTGACACACAAGCCCAGAGACAGTTTTCTATAGCCACTGTAGGCCTAGTGAAAAATAAGTGACCCCATGAATATTTTTCTAACAAAAACTGGCAGGGGTCTCCATTCTCCCTATTGCCAAGCCTGTAGGCTCACTCTGCCCTCCCCTTAGCAAACTCCCCTGCTGCTTTGTATCTATGTCTGGGTGTTTACCTGTCTGTGTCTGCTTATCTTGTGTCTGCCAGGTACCCTAGGAGGCAGAAGAGTGGATTGCATCCCCTGGGACTGGAGCTACAGATGGTTGTGAGCTCTTATATTGGTTCTGAGAATCAAACGTATGTCTTCTAGAAAAGCAGCTGGTGCCCTTAACTGGGCCATCTCTCGATTACGAGGTTGTTTGTTTTTAAAATAAAGCTGTTTCTGTTATAGGGCTCTTAAAAGTTTTGTTAGAGGCCTTTGTGTCAAAAACAAACATAGCATCCTTGAGTATAATATGAAAGCTGGTAAGACATTTAAGTGCTTTAAAAGATGCTGCCTTAATTTTAAATTCCAAACATGAAACACTGTTAAATCATAAGATTTTTTTTTTAATCATAAAAGACTTTTAGCATTCCACTCCTATTTTTAGGTAAGCTGTGTATTCTATGAATGACTGTTTCCATATTTTTATTTAATTTGTTTGCATGTATCTGTTCATGTGTATGCATGTACGTACTAAGTGTTGATATACATTCGTAGATGACCATGTTGGGGTTACACCTGCAACATATATGCAGGTGGAGGCTAGAAGTCAATGTCCAGTGCCTTCCTCAATGATTTTTCCCTTTATTTTTTGAGACAGGGTCTCTCGCTGAATCTGAAGCTCACAAGTTTGGCTAGACTGGCCAGTGAGCTCTGGGGATCCACTTTTCTCGGTCTCATCCTCCACAATGCTGGAGTTACAGCCCCATGCCTGGCTCTCTTACCTGGGTGCTGGGGATTGAACTCGGCTCCTCATGCTTGTGCTGCAAGCCTTTCACCAGCTGAGCTGTCTTCCCAGCCTGTGTCTGTATTTTATTCATTGTATACTAGGACTGACATGGGTAGGAGTGCCTCACAATGTAGCACAGTCTTACAAAAATAATCCCTGAGTGTGCTCTTTCTCCACAACGCCTGAGGCAGCCAGAGGGGGGAAGGTTTACTGTGGCTCATGGTGTAGGACAATTCAGTCCATGGCTGACCTTGTAGCTTTGGGCCTCTGGTTGTACAAGAGTCTGTGGTGGAGTTGCACACATTCTAGAATCGAGCAGAGGAGCAGGCTGGGCCTCGGAGTCCCCTTCCATGTGCATATACCTAATGCTAACTTCCTCCAACAGTCTCCACCTTTTGTTTGATTGTTGTTTTGTTGCTGTTTTTTCAAGGGCGGGGTTTCTCTATGCAGCCCTCGCTGTTCTGGAACTGGCTATATAGATAGACTAGGCTGGCCTCGAACTCACGGGGATCAGCCTGCCTCTGCGTCCTGTGTACTAGGGTTAAAGATGTGCCACATTACTGTCCAGCAATGCCTCACTTCTTTTTTTTGTTGTTGTTTTGTTTTGTTTTGTTTTTCAAGACAGGGTTTCTCTGTGTAGCCCTGGCTGTCCTGGAACTCACTCTGTAGACCAGGCTGGCCTCGAACTCAGAAATCCTCCTCCCTCTGCCTCCCAAGTGCTGGGATTAAAGGCGTGCGCCACCACCACCCGGCTAATGCCTCACTTCTTAAAGAGTTCCACTGTCTCCAAATACTGCCTCGGCCTGAGGCATGTGGCCTCTAGGGGGCATTTTCAGATCTAAACTATAGCAGTCAAGGTGGAGAATTTTACATCTGATATAAAACTAGGTCTGATCACAGACTTCATACTCCAGAAGCTAAATAATAAAACCACACTAAAAGCCAGATTTCCAAATCCTTAAAAAGAATGATATACTCATATTAATACCAGATGAGCATGTATTAATTTTATGAAATCTGGCTGTTTCTTGGCTTTTAGCTAAGATAACATGCAGTAAAACATTTTATGAAACCTTAAAGAGGGAACGAAGGGATGTTACAAGTTGTTCAAGGGAGAAGGCAAATGACACACACAGAAGTACTGGAATATATCTGTAAACAGACCAAGGCTAGCTTCCTCTGAAGCACGGGAAGGAAAGAGATGAACAGGGCTCTGTTCCCCCTCTAAACTCCATAATTCCTCTGCTTTGCATTCAGCTATCTACAAGGCAGTCGTGTTCAGTAAGTCTCCTCAGAACTTCAGGAACCCGAAGCTATTATGTATAGACTGAACAGTGCTGAGGTCACTGAAGCAATTCTCCCCACACCCTGTGCTGAAAGCTCAAAGAAATGTGTGGGTCGTAAGTAAACAAATCTGGACCTGGTTGTGCAGGCCGGCAGTCCCAGCTACTCGGGGTAGGCATAGGTTCAAAGCCTGCCAATGCGATGGTAAGCCTGACATCCCAAGACATGGCAGAAGGAAAAAAACTGGCTCCTGCAAGTTTGTCCTCTGACCTCCACACGTGCTTGCACTCATACACAATAAACATATTTTAAGATATACTTTAAATGAGGCCTAGGGCACTTTTCTAACAAGTTTGAGGGCCGAGAGTCAATTCCCAGAACTGAAAACAGAAAAGTTTGAGGTTCCCTTTCAGCCTGTTATCATATTCCTCTGTCAAAATTTTAGCAACCATAAAATTCCAAACTAGAAGATTGCCTGACAACAGAGCAAACCCAGTGTACGAACACCAGAGGACCCACTTTCAATTCCCAGCACCCACATGACCACTAACAAACATCCGTAACTCCAGTTCCAAGGATCTGATGCCCTCTTCCGGTCTCCGGGGACAATGTGCACATGGGGTGCACAGATATAAATGCAAGCAATATACCCATGAAAATAAAACTAAAATGTATTACTCTTTTAAAAACAGAAAGAAAAAGAAAAAGAAAGAGAACAATGTAGCAGTAGGTGGCAGCAGAACTCTACTCCTGAAGAATATAGCCTTCCAAAAAAAGGAAGAAAAAAAAAGTGTGA